AAAATGGCCTTTGATCTCGGTCTCCCTTTTGGCAATGCTCAAGAAAACCCTCTGATAATTGCTCACAGGTGTGGTGCCTTTCTTGAACCTGTTCCCCAAGTTTCACAAGTCTGGCTGGCCCAATTTGACCTGGCCAGGGGTGGACACAGCTCCAGGCCACCTCAGGGGCTGGAAGGTGGGTCGACTCCACTCTAAAATTGTGTGGGAGGGACAGAGGGAAGAAGGGGGAGAGAGAAGGAAAGAGAGAAGGAAAGAAAAGCGAGAAAGGGAAAGAAAGAAAAAAGAACAGGACGGAAGGGAGGGAGGCATTAGAGAGGGGAGGGAAAGGGAGAGAGAGTGAAAGAGAGAAGGAGAGAAAAGAGGGAAGGAAGGAAGGAAAAAACAGGAAGGAAAAGGGAGGGAGGGAGCAAAAAAGAAGGAAAGCAAAGAGAAGGAAGGAAGAAACAGGAAGGAAGAAGGGAGGGGTAGAAGGGGAAGGAAGGAAGGAAGAACAGGAAAGGAAGGGAGAGAGGGAAAGGGGTAGAAAGGGAAGGAAGGAATGTAAAGGGAGGGAGAGAGCAAACAAAAAGAAAGGGAGGGAAGAACAGGAAGGAGAGAAGAGAGAGAGGGAAGTGAGAGGGAGGGGTAGAAAGGGAAGGAAGGAAGGAAAAGGAAGAGCAGTGGAAGGAAAGAAAAGAGATGAGTGAAGGAAGGAAGGAAGGAAAAAAGAACAGGAAGGACAGGAGGGAGGGAGGCGTAGAGAGAGAAGGAAAAGGGAGGGAGAGTGAAAGAAGGGAAGAAAAGAGGGAAGGAAGGAAAAAACTGGAAGGAAAAGGGAGGGAGCGAAAGAAGGAAAGGAAAGAAGGAAGGAAGGAAAAATCAGGAAGAAAGGGAGGGGTAGAAAGGGAAGGAAGGAAGGTAAAGGGAGGGAGAGAGCAAAAAAGAAAGGGAGGGAAGAAAGAACAGGAGGAGGGAGGGGAGGGAGAGAGGGAAGTGAAAGGGAGGGGTAGAAAGGAAAGGAAGGAAGGGAAAAGGAATAAAGGAGGAAAGAAAAGAGACGGAGGGAAGGAAGGGAGGGAAAAAGATCAGGAAGGACAGAAGGGAGGGAGGCAGGCGTAGAGAGAGGAGGAAGGAAAAGGGAGAGAGGGAGCGCGAAAGAAAGAAAAGTAGGAAAGGCGGAAGGAAGGAAAAAACAGGAAGGGAAGGAGGGGTAAAAAGAAGGATGGGACGGAGGGAGGAATTGGAAGGGAAGGAAGGAAGATAAAGGGAGGGAGGGAGGCAGCAAAAGAAAGAAGGAAGGAAAGTGGGGAGGCACAGCTTTCTCTCTCTCTCTCTCTCTCTCTCTCTCTCTCTCTCTCTCT